TATATATATATATATATATAATTGTGTTGAATAAAAATATTGAGGCAAAATTCATTTTACAAGCATTAGCTCTCGCTGAAAAGGAGGTGATCCCTCTGCACCTTCCAGTACAGCTACCTTGACTTCATTCCAGTCACTAGTCTTGCAGTCCTTGTAGTAGAGTCGATAAATTATATGCCTCTAGTTGAATCATAAGGACGGACTTCAGTTTTGACTCTATGCAGTATGCGTATAAAACTATGTTGGATCTTTCTTGGAACATAACCTAGAATAAGATCTTCACCCCCTGAAATTTAAAAATAGCCCAAAAAACCCTCATGTGGTTTTGAATTGAAGTGAAATGCCTAACACTTTCAACCAAGGTTTTAAAAACTGGACCGGTGAGCAAATTAGAAAAAGGATTGGGTGGACGGGTCACCGATTTAACCATCAAGTTGAATCGGAATTGAACCGTGACTTCATAACTATTTTATAAATAAATAAAATACATTCATTTAAAATATTTTTATAATTTAAGATATATATTTTCCAAATATATATGTTCATATATATATATTTTTTATTAATATTGTTTGTAAAAATATTAATTATACATGTGTTTGAGAGATATTACTTTGAATGCAATAAATATTATATATCTCTTATATATTAACGAGGAGCCATGGTGGCATAGTGGAAGTTCATTCTCCTTTCGAGCTTGAGGTGTTGGGTTCAACTCTTTGCAGCACCCCCTTTTTTTATGTTGGATCAAATATTTCTGGAGCTAGCAAACCTGGTTTGTTTGCTTCAACCCGTACTGGTTTAACTGCGAATTTTGCTAGTTTAGCTAGAAAAGGCCCTGTTTTCAAGTGAGAATGGTTTAGAGGGTATATCTGAACTGGACCATAGACTAGTCAACCGGTCAAACCGGCCGGTCCGATTTTCAAAACCATGATATATATATATATATATATATATATTATATTTATAAGGTTTAATGGTGTATAATCTTATCCCCATTGATGACCAATGTACTGGTTTTACAGTTTCAGAATGTAGAAGAATTATGCACATGGCAAATTGAAGATTAACAAAACCCAATTGTAAATGAGCAAGAACTAAATATGGTACCATTATCTAGGTACATGAATGTTCACCACCAACAGGTAAGGTGGTGACCAACACTCATCCTATTATTTTATTTTATTTTTTTAAATAAGTATTTTCGAGAAATTCCAAAGCCGTAAAAGCATCTACTGTTTCCAAATGCTCAATAGTCAACAACCAAAACAAACACAAACATCTGACAAAAGGCAATATTTTAAGTTCAAACACGTGAAAACATAATCTCTAGCAAACTTGTAGAACTCCTAGTATATTGGTTCGTAATTCTGTCCAGGTATAACTGAGCCTATATATACTTCACTGAATAGCACATACCTACTGCAAATGTTGAAAATAAATTGACATGCAGATTGATGACACTGAGCCCTCTGTATTCATTCAGCAGTAGCTACCTTTTTGGGGGGTAAATTGTCACAAACCAAACTCATGGCATTGCATCAAACAGTTGGTGCAAACTCCGAAGAAATTCATGGCAAACCATAAATGTATCAGCACAGACCAAACTCAGAAATAGAGAACCCAAGATAATTTTCAATCAAGCAAACATAGGATAATGATAGTAGGAATTGGATTGCACAACAAATGGAATGTGGAAGTTGAGAAAGGCATACCTCGTTTGTTTCTTGACCAGATTCAGAACGGTTTGCACCAAGGCAACAATTACACCTCCTAAAATAGAAGAGCTTATGGAGGAAGCCTCAGGGGAAAGCTGAATCAGCACAGCTGACAAGAGGTGCAGGCAGGCTTGTTTGAGAAGCTTCATCATCCGCAGATCTTGTCGAAGAAGCCGCAAACGGTGCAATCTTCCAGAAGGGTGAAGTTGCCGTCTCACCTCCGTTAGATGGACTGCTGTTAGAGGCAATTTTTTCTTGCTTTTATAGTATGTTATAGAAAGGTATAGATTATAGATATGTGGATGATTTCAATCCCAGGGGAAAAGGTTAGAAACCAAGAGGGGAAAAGGTTTGAAAAGCCAGCGAGCAAGCAAGCAGCAGCATTATACCACTGTTACACATTTTTTTTACAGGTTATAGAAATGAGTGTCAACAAGCTTATATGAGGTAGCAAAATTCAAGTGCAACCGTGTTCATCCATGATATGAATAGGGTTAGAGTGTGTTTAAACTTGTACTTTGATTAACCAATTTTATGTTTAAATATCAAGTAACAACTCAATCTCATAATCTACACTACCCAATAATTTTATAAATAAAAATCTATTATTGATTAATTACATTAGTTAGACATACCTTTAAAGTACCATATAAATGCATGCACCGATTCACATATCATTCTCCATTCCCATACACACCAAAATGATGGTTCCTCATGCCTTGCTTATCAACACAATGATCACCACCCAATCAATTTCAGCTATCAAAAACAATTCTATTTCTTGTCAAACCAACCAACCAACCAAACAAACAAACAAACAAACAAACAAAGCTTCATGATTTCATTTTTCAAAAAGTTGTAATTCAATCCAAACCACCAAGCTGCTACACCATCCAAATTTCTTGGGCTGAGCCATGAAGATCCCCACAACTGGATAAAAGCACTCACTCCATACATTCCAAGCCCTGCTTGCATATCAACAATAATACATGAACTGCAGATTTACTACCGCCAATACTGAACACACAAATACTAGCCTTAGAATCAAAGGGATGATGTTCATTTACAGTAATAAATCCCTAATAACAATTTTTTCAAGTAGAACACCAGAAACTTTGGTGGTATATAATTTTTCTATACAATTCTAATAAAATTCTTTTTGAATCCCAGAAATTTCTCCACCTGCTTGTCCAAAGAGCTTACCAATATAAGAACTGCCCATAACTTGTCCAACATCCATATTACTTCACCCTCGGTCCCTAGCTTCAATGTAACTCCTTCCAGCAATTTAAACATGCCATTTAATCACTCTTTCTCCCACTAAATAATTATCTTGCAAACTCAAATTTCCAGAGAATTTTACCGCCCTCAAGCTCATACATCAGAATCCTTCACATTTGAGATTATTTATAGCATTGGATATTTTAAGTTCAGTGACCAATTCCCAATACATTTTCCCTATAACCAGATTATTTCTTATGACATCCCTATCATTGAATTTCTCACATTCTAATTACACTATACTCTTCCAAACACCTGAATTTTAACCATTTTCAACCCTCCAAGGAAGCCATTCTACCATCACACCATTATATTTATGGCTTACTAACCCCTTCTACACAATGCATTTATTTCCTTACCAAATCTCTACCAACATTTTGAGAAAATGAGCAATATTCATAGCTATTTACAAACCCAACCCACCTGAATTCTTACTGGTGGTTACTTTCTTACAATTCACTAGATTTTTCAATTTCACAAGATTAATTTTACTGGCTTCTTGCACGGCTGTATATACTAGTAGACATAAGGAAAACATTGTTTTCGTTTCCCTGTTGGCCACACCAAAAATAAGCAATTTATTAGCTTATTTGGATCACATCACCGCTCTAATTTTCTACACTTCTACACGTCTTTTCAAAATAAGTAAAAGAAAAAAAATAAAAGATTAAGTCATACCCAAAACAAACCATGGGTTCACACATTTTCAGCACTTCTTAATACAATAGCTAACTTTTAACAATAAAAAAAATTAACTTAAACACAAGGAAGCGAAACATCAATCATTCAAACTGAACCAACCAAAAAGTATTGTATAGGAATAGTGCATCGAAGTCGAAAGCATTTAACAAATTCAACATGACAAAACTCAAACAAGAAGGTGCTTGATTTAAATCTAACACTAAGCTCTCAAAATTCTTCCATTGAAACTAGTAATTGAAACAAAAGGCAGAGAAGCAGACTCAGTCACCCTTTCTCCGGAAAGAGCATCCCTCGGTGAGCCTTGCACGGCCTCCTGTTGGCTGGCACAAGACAGTCTGGCAGTTTCCACACACCACAACAGTTTGCGAGTGGCTAAAGACGGTGGTTCTGCAATTTTACCGATTGATCAATACATAAAAATGTACTAAAGCAGAAAAGAACATGACACATCATGTAAATCTCTGTTTGGTTTTGAAAAACAGGGTAAGTTTGGCAAGTAAAAAAAATACCCAAATAGTAAAAAAAATACCCCCAAAAAATCAAAGAACTATAAATAAATAAATAAAAAGTCAAAAATTCCCTTTCTACTTTTGGCACTTTTTTTTCATAAAAAACCAAAAAAAATCATCCCAAAACATATATTTTCGGATCATATTTTAACCAAAAAGTTCAAAATTTACTTAAAATAGCCTATTCCAAAACAAACCTCAACACTTATATTTTAATTAAAAAATACTTCATTTCTACATCCAACTAACCTAGATGTAATTAAAATTTTAGAAAAACAGTACAAAAAACAGTTTTTAGAAACTAAATCAAACAGTGCATATAATTTTAAACCCAAAAAAAAAATAACATGAGATCAATAATAATAATAAACAAAGTATTACAGAAACTCACATGTTGAAACAGCCCTGGCATTTGACATCCTTTGGCATAAAAAAAATGAAGAATCAGAGCAATATTTTATTAAAACCAAATCTTACAACAAATTGGGCAACAATTATGATTGACAAAGTAAAAATTGATGGGTTTGTGTTACCATGAAGAAGGAATTAGGGGACTGAACCAGACGTTTTAGCTTGTGCTTCCTCTTCTCGAGCTCCGCCGGTGGATTCAACAAATCGATATCGTTTGGAAGAACCTAAAATTTCACAAATAACATTAAAACGAGATCAAAACTCACTCAATCATCATGAAGAACCAGATTCAATACCATAAAAACCTAACAAAGACAGTTACAGATCTGAAGAACGAAACACAAAAAAACAGGATTTTGATATGAAGATGAGGTGTGATCGAACTCACCATTTTGTGTCTGAGTTGGAGAAGGAGAGAGCTTTTTCGCAGCCAAGTTCGCAAAAACCCTAAATGAAGACTCCGAAGGATGTACTATTGAGAAGGCCGAACCCTAGACTTATCGTCGCATATATATAGGCGAAATTGGAATCACTATAGACCGTTGGATGGATGAGTGTCTAATCTCAGCCATTGTTTTTCTTTTTTTTGTAAATTACAACAAACTCCCTTAAAATATAATTATTTATACTTTGTCTCTGTAAATTTCAAAATTTAAGAATAAACCACCTTAAAATATTATCTCATTACATTAATCTTTTTTGTTATGCTAGAGATTTAAACAGATATATGATTTTTAAATAAAATTAATACTCTAATTTATTAATATTATTTGTACTTTATCTTCATTATCTTAATGAGAAAATTTAAACGAGATCACCAGATAAAAATATTATTTCATAAAATTCAATAAGTGGTATGTGCTTCATACATGACATGATTTTGTGTAAATCCTTAACATAATTATAACAAAAAGAGATTAATTGTGATAAGATAATATTTTGAGATAATTAATTGTTAAATTTTGAAATTTATGAGAGCAAAGTGTAAATAAATTATAATTTAAGAAGCTCCACTCTAATTTACTTCCTTTTTTTTTTAACAGTATATCATATTAGGGCAAAATATTGGATTATATGAACTAATGTTTTTTTATTTTTTTTATTTAAATGTAATGAATTAGATGGAATTAATAATATTCTTATTATTATTATTAATAACTAGTAATAAATTTTTATTATGTAGCTGAATTTTAAAATAAAATAAAATGTGAATATAAATTTTTAATTTAAATAGTTCATATTTTATATTGTTTTTAAGGGTTAAGCTTGAACAATCAATTATTCATTTAGCTAAGTTTGATAAACCTAAAACTATATCAAACTTACTCGAGCTCGGTTCGACAAAAGTTTGTTTGAGATTAGCTCGCAAGTTTAATAAACCAAACTTGAACTTTGTTAAAATTTTCAAATCAAACTTAAATGGTTATAACTGTTCAACTCATTTATCACATCTAACTATAAGTTATGTAAAATAATAAACTTAAACACTTTTTTAACTATGGAAATTACAATTAATAATAATACTTAGACATTTTGTTTGATTGAATTAATCAAAATTTTGTTAAATTTTTTAAGAATAATTTATTTTCATTGACGTTAATCCAATTAAAAACTTAGACCAAGTCCAAGTTTGCACATTTATTCATGAAAATCAATCTTTATCAAAATGATTATACCATTCATTATATCAAACCTTCTAAGTAGTAGGAAATTATGTTAGAATTTGTAACCCAAAAAAATTATGTTAGAAATGTAGCCAAAAAAAAGAAAGAGAAAATGTTTTGCCAGAATAATATGAAGATGAAAATGTTGGGAGCAAGTAACATTTATTTGGTATAATTTTATGCTTATATTGTAAAATTCAAAATTTGAATTTGAATTTTATATAAATATTTTTTAAATAATTAAAAAATATTATTATCTATAGTTATTTAAAAAAATTTACATGTCAATGAAATTTAGGCAACATACATATATATTTGATTAAGTTATTGAGACAAAACATTTTAATCACTATGGCACCGTTTGGGAAGTGATTTTTTGGGGTTTTTTGGCTATTTTAATTACAAAAGACAAAATATGTTATTTTAGCCACAATAAACAAAACATCATATCTAACCCATAATCATTACACCTTTCTCTCACAAAAAAAGTTAAAAAAGTCAAAAAGTCCTTCCCAAACCAAGCTTTTTAGCCCAGGCTAAAATAGTCAAAAAAAACTAAAAAGCCAAAAAGTCAACTCACTTTCCAAACCAACCCTATGAATCTGCTTTTATTCTTAAAAACATTTAAATTATTTTTCATTGAAGATAAACAACAATATTACAAATATTTATTCTCACTATATTTTGTAATAAATTAATAAGGATTTTATTTTTAGGCTCACCATTATATGTCTTTTCTAGTGTAAGGATAGAAAAATAATACTTACTAGCATAAACGTTGATCTATATGATTTTGGCCTCGTTTGGGAAGTGACTATTTTAGTAGGCTATTTTAGTTTTTGGCTATTTTAGTAAGCTAAAATTTTTGTTTTTGGGAAGATGATTGGATTTTTTTGTAGTTGGATGTGATGTTTGTGAGAGAAAAAGTGAAATGATTATGGGTTTGTCTTATTAACTATTTTAGCCTATTTTGTCTTTTTGTGATTTTTAGCCTAAACTAGGCTACTTTTTTTCTTCCCAAACACCGCTTTCCCAACTATCTTCTATACAATACGCTTTTTTTCGTTGACGTGATCTATGCTTTGAGAAGATTGTATAACTTCCATTGCACTATCATGGTTGACGTTAACGTTGGGTTGAGATACCTGAATTCTCTTGGACCCACTCCCTCAATGTGATACTACCCTCTTCATAAATTGCTTGGATAACGTTTGAACTTGCATAAATGAGCATGGAAAAAGTTGATCTGGCATTGGGACATCCACTTGAACTGGACATGGGAGGATTTGATTCAGCTTTGGGACATGTATTTGAACTTGAAATGTTTTTTTCATTAGAATCGACCTCTGGACTAAGGGCTTCAGACGACTTGCCATCAAAACAAATCTCTGGGATAAGTTCAAGGGCAACTTCATTGAGAGTATCAGAGGTTACATTACACCTCTGCATGAATCCTCCATATTTGATTGGTAAGTTTGTTTTGTTTGAAGCTTAGTGACCGAGAGGCTAGGACGATGAAAAAACTCAACTTGTTGCTAGTTTTAAGTGTCTCACGCAAACCAGGATCAACGAGAAAAAAGTTTTTTCCCATTATCACTTGTTTTTTTCTTTTCACAAATTGTTTAGGGTTCAACTTGTCTTTAGCATTTGCTCCTGGGCAACAAAACTTTCTATGGGATGTATTCATACCGTTGTCACCATTTTGATTGGGTGGGTTGCTGTTTTGTACAGCGCATATCATGTCCATTTCATAAGTATTATCAAGATTCACAACCAACGGAACTTGACTTCTTGTTCCTAATTCTTTTGGCGAGAATATTTCATCTTCAATCACCGTATGAAAATCCATTACTTTAAGTGAATGTAAGGCAACTTCCTAATCAAATGGGACTGATATTTTACCTTAGGCAAACTAGAATCTTGCAGTATAGCTATACCTTTGCCATTTTCTTGTTTGGTTAAACGTTGATTTGTTGGCTTAGAGCTAACAAGAAACCTTTCTTCAACATTCTCAAACAAACAAGGCAGAGCTACTTAACAAAAACCAAACCAAACAAACCAAATCCTAAAAATAGAGCAAAAGCTACTTGCTAGATCTTGCATCCCCAAAAGTGTAAAGCCCAAAGATTGGGTTTAAAGATGAAAAATCAAGCCAAAAGCACATCTATGTTCAGATCTGTGCAATCACAACAATTCGAAACATATTGGACCACAAAATCGAGCATAATTTTAAATTATATTTTCCATTTAGTTTGGTACTATTTTTCTAACACAATGTGCATTAGATGCTAGTTATTACTATATTTGCCCAGCGTAGGTAGCAAATGGATCTGTAAGAGGGTGGTAGGAAATGGGAGAGGAGGGGAGGGGACATCTGCCAGAACACTAGAGCTTTGCTTGAGAAACGAAAACATCACCGTTAGAACCACTTCCGGCACACGAAGCAAATGTCAGGACCACCCCCTCCCCAACGAAACGAGATCTGAGAAGGGTGAGAGAGTGTGACGGTTGTTTAGGGTCACCGGAGATTCACCGGAGTAGCATCGAAAATAGCTTGGGTTTTAGAACATGTTTCTTGAATGGTTGGGATTAGGGCCGCAAACAAGTCGAGCCGAGCAAAGTTAAGTTTCACATTGTTCAAGCTCAACTTGACAGAAACAAGTAAAGCTTAAGCTTGAGCCCGAATCGAGCTTAATTTTTTTTGTTCAAGCTTGGCTCATTAGGAAATTTAAAAACTCGAGCTCAGCTCGTCTTTGGTCGATTTCATAAACGATCTTGAACAAGCTTGAAAAGAAGGGAAAAACTTCTATTCAAATTAAAAATTCAGAAAATGAACCCATATATTTCTAAAAAATAAACAAAATATAAAATGAATGAAAATAGTTAAACCATGATTTTCTACACTAATTCAAATACATGGGTAATTGTATTTTCAGAGAAAAAAATAAAATAAAAAGTGAAGTAACAGAAAATAAAATAGCCCAACTTTCTACTAGTCTTTGCCTCTATATCGGAGAATTGCATGTGGAACATCATTGTAGACACCCTATTTTTTACCATCCCTAGGACTTGGGTACCTCAGGTTGATTACTTTATAATGAATAGTTACGCTGTACAAACGTTCGATTTCTTCAGCAAGGAGCCTCGGTTTTGAGTCTCAAAAGCCTAGAACCTTGCACTTCCTTCAGACCAAAACCCAATTTTTTTCAGCCTGACCACTCAGAGGCTTGCTGGCCAAAAATTAGTGGCCGATCGTCCCCCTACCTAGCCGGTCGGCCGGCCAGCCAGGTTTCCTGGCGGGAAGATATTTACTGCCAGTATGTGCATGCACTGCACTAGCTGGCTCAATACAGATATTTTCGAGATAGGAACCTGTTTTTCTATATATACTTGACCATCCCTCTTGATTTTATTTTAGAAAATTTTGCCAAAACTCAAAAACTTGTCAAACACTCTTCCTCTCTATCTTGCAACATACATACTCTCATGACCCATCCTGGTGACTAGGGCTGGATTTGCAGCTAGCTAATGTCTAAAATTTCTCAGATTAAGTCCAAGTAATTAAATTAAATAATGCAACGAAACAAAATAAAAGATGTAGATAAATATCCAAAGCGTACATGAAAATTATTATATATGTAACGTCAGTCAGACAATGATTACAAGAAGGAAAAAAAAAACATGATATTCATATCAAATTTGGGTTCTGATCCATGGGGTAAAACCGTCATTCTTTAAATTTCTTCACCTCAAATGGGTTTTAACAGGAATAAGCACATGGCAGAGTGAGGAATATTATACTCAGAGTATAAGGATATATAAATCACCATGGATAATTATTTAGGCTAAACAATGAATAG